TGGTTGTATGAATTCTCCCAGAAGGCTATGCCAGTCCTTATTTCTTCAACTACAGTGACTACAGTTGAGGTGTATAATTTAAAAACACCCATCAATTCCTATGTAAATTCTTCCTTTAGCAGAATCCTCGACTTTGGACCCAAGTACACAATGTTTGTTACTACATCTAGGCAGCCTGATAACTTGTACTACTTCTAGAGCCCACTGGAACCTTCTCACCAAAATCGATTTTCTCTTTCTCCATGCAATGTCACTGCGACACGCAAAAGTCCAATGAGCACGTGTTATGTCTTCCTTATCGCACGTCTACGCGTGCGCATGCTTACTAAGCAACGCTGTTCCATATTTGGCTAAAGCGATTTCCAACTCGAATAGGTCTTATATCGTAACGGAACTTAACAAATAAATACATGTATCATTTACATTGTTTATACATAAAATTCTCGAACTTACTTCCCTGCATATGATGATAGAATTGTACAGCTAAGTGCATTATAACAGTAAGGACAATGCTCCATGATCACGAATTAGACAGTTATGTACGATGACATGGGTAGAAAATTTCATTGAAATGAATTTCCGTTCTGGTCTGGAAGCTAGAGTTATGTCCTTACGTGTTTTACTGTGATATATTTGCAATTCCATGTTTTATTAACAAACCATATGGGCGTATCATTGCCAATTATTAAAAGTTTAATGAATTAAATAATAAATAGATATTTTAAGTGTGTTTATAAATATATATTAATGATGATGAAACCCAATGCCATGTTCTATTCGCTTTGAATATCACAATTAAGAGATTTGAATTTCGTCTTTAACAAAATACGTTATTGGAGAACATTTGAGAATATTATTATGGTATTTGACCTACATACTGTTATGACCTTTCTTATCTAATATATCAGATGTAAACCTATTGGAAATGTGGCATTCCTCATATTACAACGATAATTTGATTGAGCGTTCCATAACCGCAGTAACTAGTATATGGCCTAGGGTATACTTACAGGAAAATATATCATACTGTGACCTAGTTCTAGTGTCAAAGTAAGTACACCACACACTTTACACAGGTAAACACACCGTACAGGTGAAACAGTTGCACACCTGTACATAATTCTCACACGTACACATTTACACCTTTGATTTATCACCTTTTCATATGACAAGGTCACGCTGCATTGAATGTTGGTGTATATGATGGATTGTAGCGTAACGCATTTCTTCCTAAACCTTTTTTGAGTGTTCGCGATATTACCTCAAGCTAGAAACCAAAAGGATATCACCTTGAAACAAGGTTTCTCTATTAATTTTGATTTCAGATCCGTTTTTGTTTCGTGTGATTTTATTCCATACTCGAAAATAGTAAAAAGAAAATGTAAGCACCACGAAAACACAAACGTTTACAGTATATGATCGGACTAATCAACAATTTTATACACCAGTTGTGTTGTCTCTCGGTTACGTGTCGTTATTGGGATATGTTGTTTTTTCGATCACTTCGGATTGTCCTCAGTCGCCTAAAAGGCTTTTATAACTTCAGGCCTTATCATCACTGACGAGTCCTAGAAGGACGAAACAGCTGTATGATTTAGTATCACTGACGAGTCCTAGAAGGACGAAACAGCTGTATGATGTAGTATCACTGACGAGTCCTAGAAGGACGAAACAGCTGTATGATGTAGTATCACTGACGATTCCTAGAAGGACGAAACAGCTGTATGATTTAGTATCACTGACGAGTCCTAGAATGACGAAACAGCTGTATGATGTAGTATCACTGACGATTCCTAGAAGGACGAAACAGCTGTATGATGTAGTATCACTGACGATTCCTAGAAGGACGAAACAACTACTTGGTGCCGTTTATTTCATTGCTCGACTCTCCTCTATCTTACTCTAAGTAAATATTAAAAGGTGCTATTCAATTGTGAATCTTTCGTACGGTCTTCGTTGAGAATTCTCTGTGTGGACGTACGGTTACACCGTGGAGCGTTTCTGTTTTGATAACGAAAACCTCTCTTGGGGTACAATACATTACATCATGTTAGAGCAAAGCGCTGCCAAATACTGTCTTTAACGCCGGTTAATACAGCGTGCCTTTAATTTCTTTTACTTGTTATATAACCTTCAAGTTTCGTTGTATTGTCTTTATTTTATTTGAAACGTATCATTTCTAGCAGAGTTCTTTTGAGGAATTCTGCACCAAGCTGTCAGTCAATCAACGTTTACGAAAAACAGGGGCTCGAGTACATGTGTTTAGGTTCAGACCTATTGTCAGCAAGTTCATCTTTGAGTGTGTATCTAGTGCACGGAAAAGTCTAAGGGATTCTTTGAATTCTGTTGGTAAGGCATCTCAAACCTGAACAATCGAATAATGCTTTAGCACCATCAGGCATTCTTCCTAGGACCAGGGTGTTCTCATCAAAAACATGGTAGACACTGATATCGTTTTCTGCTGAAAATATGTTGGTGTGTGTCCAAAGGAGCATTTATCTCGTACAAGTACAATAGAAAAAACATGCTTACAAAGGGCACCAAGTAAAATAACATGACTTATGCATGTTAATCACAACTGACGCTGCCGCCAAAAATCCTATTAATTCCATGGTCGCCACACCCGAGCCGGCCGCACCCAATCTTTATCAAGTGTTTTATATTTATGGCTGTTGAACATGGCCTCGTACAAAAGCTATGCCTTAATGTGCTGTACATTGTATAGGTTACATAAACATATTTTGGTAGAAATATATATGTATATTTACCTTCAGAATAATCCATATCAATTATTTCCCACATTAGTGTTTCCGCGTTGCTACCGATACAGCTGATCTCAAAATGAATGCTGGCTTTGGCCGGATTTTGTATATAAATTGCATTTTCTTAAATCATATGTATATAAGATTTCAGGAGAAAAATATATATCTTTGAAAATATTCCTACAGAAATTTGAACATGAAATTGTGTCATATCCTTTACAGACATTTCCATCACTAAACAGACACATTGGGTCTGATATGTCCTGTATTTCCAATCACATCTCTATCGATTAATTGAAAAGTTGAAAGGGAGAATCAATTTCTCATGAGAGGCCCTGCAGACGCCCGTCTCTGTCGGGTGATGTATTCAGACAACGCAATGCCGCCGACTGCAGCGAGGTTCCCGTGATATATACTCCAACTGTTGTAGAATTCCGATATTGGCGATTATCAGGTCGAGAAATCTAGAATTTTCAATAATAGAATCGATGAATCCAACCTCAGGTGTTCTCTGTCTGACGGTATCCTACAACACAAGGGAATATCATCAGTACCGCGTCAGTGTTCCGACATTTCTCATCTGCTGTAAAATTCAAAGCCAGGCGCCTCTCTGACTATACTTTGTACATAATATATTGATAAATGTCTTATAACACGTTATATTTCGAAAACTAATGGTATTGGTAATTTTTGTATATATCCAGTTTATATTTTGATGACCAGTCCGTTTTGAACTCCAAAGAATGTCACTGTACGGACAGGTTGTTTCTTATGTGATCAACATCAAATGCATACATTGTAGGTAAGATAGACTTTTATCGTGTTCTCCGGTGATGTGTTTAGCGGTAAGGGGTCGACTGAGGAATCTGGAAGTAGTATTTTCTAGGATGAAATAAAAATCAAAAGTCGAAACAACAACACGTGGTCTTTTTATCAGTTTCCGCGTTCCTTCGTAAGTAACGTAGTTGTGATGTTGTCGTGGTATTGTGTCAACCGTATTCATTTTTAGATATTTGCGATATGCTATTATGTCAAAAACAAGACTTTGTCAATTGGCAGTACCAGCTTTGAATATAAACTTTTTATTTCCTCTATAATATTTTGGTTTCAAAATTAGTTTTTGTGAAAATGAGATTGTGTAAACAAATTAATTCATTATATTGTAAAAAGCACGCCAATGCGTTCCTGTTTACAGACAAGTGTCTGGTGACCTCCGAATGGGCACGAAACCGCACAAAACCTAATGGGAAATGTTAAGATGGTGAGCTTTACATTCCTCGCGGAGTAATTTAGGAAGTAGACACATGTTGAGTGAGCACACCCAGATCCATACGCTTATGTGATCAGCTATTTCTATTCCTAACCTACGAATAAACCTTAGCGGACGACATAACGTTAACCAGCTGTTTTATCATGTAAACTTTATACAATTATACTCTGTACATGTTAAGAATGTACATACAATATTTTTTATGATTAGGACGCCTCGACCGGTATAACATTTTTTGCCGCCTTGCAAAGGAAAACGTTTGGGTGCAACTCAGAGAATTGAGCTTTTATGAAACTGACAAAAACAATTTGGAATTCGACAGTGGGAAGTGTTTATATGCCATGATTGCAAAGTTTGGGTTTTTGATCGCCTGTAACTGTCAGCTATAGTTGATTCAATTAAATGAGACAAGAGTGTGAGTCATATTCACGGTAACCATGGTTTTGTTTCCGGAGGAATCGAGTAGTAATCGTTAATCTAACTGTTAACTGTTTTACCGAAAATATCATCAGTTTAATGTAATAAAATAGCTGACATATAATGTTTGTCAGCCCTTTTCCTATGATAACAACGTCTTGAAATAAAATCCAACATTGAAAACAACTCTGTTATAGTTATTTTATTTCAGGAATTTCCAAAACATTTTCTGCGTTTAAGTGACATTGCTTTCAAAATGTGCGTACTTTTTGAAGGTGAAATTGACTTACGACCAAACTTAGACACCGTAACACAGACACATTGCTGATATTCATTTACTATTTTGCACTAGTTTCATGGAATCTGAGTTCGAATTCAGTTTCCGTTGACCTGTCGGTATTTCCTCGTCGTTTCTGTACATAAAACATCACAAGTATTTATGATACAGTATGTCTCAAAGATTCAAGAAAGCAAATCTATTCTTAAATATTGTATTATGTTTTAGTCTATGTTTAAATCAGTAACATGTATATCCTTTTCTCCGTTTACAGTTGTGTTGGTGACCGGGGCATCCGGCTACATCGCCTCTCACATTGTGAGACAACTCCAGGAGGAGGGCTATCGAGTCAGGGGCACGGTCCGCAGCCTGGGAGACGAAGAGAAAGTCAAGCGACTAAATGAACTCTGTCCGGAGGCTGAACATAAGCTGGAGCTGGTTGAGGCTGACCTTACCAAGCCAGACTCGTGGGAACCGTACGTTTAGATATATTGCCTTTACATTTACTTTAAATATTCAATGTAATGACACTCCATTACATCCTGGTTAAGGCACCATTTGAATTAATTTGATTAATCTAGCTTTAAACGGGTTTTTGATAGGAACAACAACATGTATTTTCAGGTTGATTGATTATATCATGCTTGATGTACGGGAAAATGCATTTTATATTACTTGATGTATCGTGTATATTAGGACACATGGAGTTTCCGTGGGATTAAGACGTCTGACCATCTTTATCACTGGTTATACGTGGGGCAGTCCAGGCACTGGCTGCATGTCGGAATTTTCCTCTGGAAATTCCTGGAGTTTCCTACACCACTCCAGCCTGGCACCTAAAATGACCCTGACCTTTGATAAGACATGAAACACCAGTACAACAATAAGCCACTCTATTGGATTCATTTCTTATAGAATGAACAAGATCCTATTCTTATCTTAATAGTCATTTTTGTCATCAAAATACACCTTTGTTGCCTTTTGAAATTGCGTTATCGGATATGCCTCGGTTTTAAAGGCTTTAGATGTTTATTCCATTTGTCTTGTTGCCATGACAGAATGCCACCATTCTATTCTATCTATTTATCTTACTGGTCTTACGTCTGCCACTGTGGCATTCCAGAACACCGGTCGCCACTTTTGATAGAATATACAGATTTCTGTTCCAGTCAAAATCGTGATTCAGTTATGATGGATTATCAACTTTGCCGAGGAAAAACTTTGTATTCTATACACTTAATAGAGGTTGTTATGTAACGTATTGTGTATGTAGTAAAGTGGAACACAGGATGGGAATGTGGAGTGTGTTTATACTCGACCCACTCCAAACCAACCGCAGACACATCAGCTTACCTCATTAGCGTACCAGAATAACCATTGTTACAGGGCCACTTTTAAGTGTGTACTTGACTCGATCAGTTACACGACCCGTGAACACAATCGCTCTCTATACAAGGAGTACAGATAATTCAGAACATTTCTAGATTTTGCCAAGTTTGTGTCACTGTTTACAATAAATCATAGTTTGTTTTCAAACACGGATACTGCGCAATATTCTCTTAAGAGATTTTCAGATTGATGGCAATGATTACATCCTTTATTAAGAGAGATTGTTTCTGGTGTTCTTCGTGTTTTCCTATCGATGACTTTACAGGTGTGCCTTATAATAGATTAATCGACTTGATTCCTTGATTTTGATACCAGAGATTTCGTTTAACTTAAACACATTAATATAGTTCGCAGTGATAGTATGATCACATTTCTGGTAACGACTGTATTTACAAACCTTCATATGCATCAGTATAACTGCTCATGAATGATAAGTATGTCACAACTTGTCCAATAGTATCACTATCACATTTACATTTTCATTCAATTATCCAGCTATATTGATTGTTGTAGAGATTTCTGTTCTTTGTTATACTTCGAAGATGTTTATTTTGTATAAAAATATTTGTAAACAAGTATGACAAAATAGAATAGAAAATAGAATAGAAATTTGAAAAATTGTGGTCATTTGCATCTGGAAAAATCTGTCAATGGTTGTCAATGTCTAATTATTGATACCACGATTTGGGGTAACCGATACGAGTAAGCTGAGGTAATCCGAGTGTTTGCCTGCCGCTTACATCCATCAAAATCAACTTCGATTGGCCACTTGTATCACAGATAAAAACAAGTTTATTCGATAATGTGACTATGACATTGATGGATGGCGGATTGGTCTATCTATGCTGCCAATCAGATATTAACAACTGTCCAGTAGGAACAACTATAGAGAATATTGTCGTTGGGAGAGCATAATAACAAATAGAAAATGGAAATCAATTGACTTACATGATTTTATCAAAGTAAATGATGGAAAGTTCTTACCGAGTATAACTGTATGACAGGGTAAAGGGAAAGTATAACTTACTGATGCTAATCATAAGAAAAAAAATCTTCGTCTCTGAAAACACGATAAGTATGCAATAGATACATTAATATAACCGATGGAATAGTGCTGAACAAATATTACAGAACGACGCTTAGACTAAATGGCAGATGGAATATGTCAAAAGAACTAATTAAACAAAATTTGGATCATTTTTTAATTAACATTCTTTTGTATAGGTTTTCATCTACTTCCTGATGAAAACCAGTGTTATTTCTATAATTTGAGATAGTATTTCCACGTAAGTTTCATAAGCTATAGTATACTTCTTACTGTATACCAATAACAGCCGGCCGGTGAGGGGCTTATTGTTAAATGTGGAATTCCTTCTGCAGAAGTTTCTGGTTCCAAAACATTTCTCAAACCAACACGTGTGCTGAATCCATTTTCGTTTTATTGCTCTTTATTTCTATTCAATAGACATTTGTATTAACAGTTACGTCAGTTTGAATTTTTCAAAATGTTAAACTTTTATTTTCGATCGGTGGTTTACAGGGCCATGAAGGACGTGACGTATGTGATCCACGTCGCAAGTCCCTTCCCATCAACAGCCCCTAAGGACGAGAGCGAGTTGGTCACCCCGGCTGTGGAGGGAACACAGGCTGTCCTTAAGGCATGTGTCACTGCAAAGTCAGTGAAGCGTGTCGTTCTCACGAGCTCCTGTGTAGCTGTTGGATGTAAGTATTTTTGGCATTGTTAGATTAAAAAGAACCCGATCACCATCTCTTTCCAGTTGACATCAGTATAAATGCACATCAACTGCTCATTTTGTTGCGTAAAATAACAGACGTGTTAGTACAGTCTACTCAAGTTTAATAGCCAGGGACTGTATTTCTTATAATACAGCGAATGGCTGCATCATAATTATCGTTTCTTTTTGTTTTGTGTTCAGGGGGTGCAGGTGTCGACCTCTCGAAGGTTTTCAATGAGGATGACTGGACGGACCCCAACAGGCTTGACGCATACGGGAAAAGCAAAACCCTGGCGGAGAAAGCTGCATGGGACTACGTGAAAGAATTACCCGGTAATGTTTCTATACATAGTTCTAGACATGTTAATGACCTGGTTTTGTAGGCTTCTCATTTCCAGAAAAAAATGAATGAATGATCATGTAAAATGAAACTTCATTTTCTAGGGAGAGTATTGCAAATTAAATGTGCTGTACGATTGTGAACATTGACTGGTGTCATTACTGAGTGACTCATCATGCGTTTCCTTGCCATTGTTATTGATGACCATTGCTAATAGACCGTAGCATATTGTCCTTTTTGTAGATTCCTTATAAAATGAAAATGTATTTCTCCAAGTTGCATCATGTTTGGTAGTAGAAAATTGTAATCATGTTATGGTTGTGTCAATTCAATATAGATGTTCAATGCCACACGGCACTTAAATGACAAGATGATTATATTTTGCTGATTTTAAATAATTTTAACTTGTAAATAAGTTTAAGGTTTTGACTCTTTTATCTTTACAAATTAAACAGTTCTCTTTTGCTTAAAGTGCATCATGTCTTAATGTATTTTGTATTTGAAGAAGGGACGGTGATAATTTAATCATCTGCTATTTTTCACAGATGAGGATAAGATTGAGCTCGCTGTAGTGAACCCTTCCTACGTGATGGGGCCTGTCATCAACGGATCTCAGAGCAATAGTCTAGAGGTATGTAATCGCCTTAATCACATGTTTTATGTAGACACTATTGTACTTATATATCTCGATGCTTTATATACTGTGATGGTTATTTTAGATGGTTCAAACCACGGTTTTCTATATGTTGTTTTAAGTTACCATTGTTTTCTCGATTTTCATATAGAATGCGAACATTTCTGTAATTTGTAAACTGAAAATGTGAAAGAAGGAACTGTAAAAGAGAATTAGATCAAAGTGAATAATGGGAATAGAAACAGTTGGATCTATCTAAATGTTCCTGTTTCTGATCAAAGAATTCCTCCGATGAAATCTAAAATCTGGTCTGCTTTGACCTTAGCCTTGACCAACGGCGAACAAAGTATATACATGTTGTATAAGGAGCTTACAGAACTAACGAATTATCGGCAGTGTCGATTTAGTTCATCCTGTGACTAATCCGCACTCTCCAAGCTGTAGTGAGTTTTTTTCTGGAATAAAACACTGGCGAGTGAACAAAGACAATTCGTTTTTCTGAAAACATTTCATACAAACGAGCAGAGACATTTTCTTTGTATCGAGTATAACACAGAAGGGTGGAAAGTGACAATGATTTTGTCCTCAGAATAACTCTGACGAGGGCACAACAGCTCGGGAAAGTGAGGAAACGGCGAGTTCTTGGTAAACAACAAAGATGGTTAAAGAAAGGAGATTGTCATTTCTGCATAAAACGATAGATGCATGAACAATTATACAGCACAAAAGGCCGCCACGTTTAACAGATAAACTTATTCATAGAAGAAATGTAAGATAATGAGATTACTCAAAACTAGCTTTACAATTAGAAAATTAAAAGAAACATTGACTTATATATATATATATCAATCTGACATTTTGTTGTGACGCTAGGAATCTAATGTGAACTTAATATACACATCAAAGTATTCATCTGATAAAAAACTGAACGATTTTCATGTTATACCAATCTCGAGAACCCATAATGTCTTTCAATGATAGCTAACATTTGGCCGGCCGCAGGAGCCAGCGTGACGGGTGTGTTGGTTGTTGATGCTGTTCCTGCGGCCGGTGCTCTGCATCAATAATGCAGCTGTGTGTGTGTGCAGCTTCGTGTGCACGCTGCACATTATTTCCTCTCGGCAGGTGATTTCGCGTACAGTCACAGCACCAAGAGGCCCCGACACCCGTCTACCAGCACAGTTCCATACATATTGCTACAGTGTCAATGACATGCTTTCAACTTGTGGACAAAAATGATATTGTATTCTAATGGTCGAGTTTTAGCAAAAGGAGTAAAAGGGATTTGTTTGATAAAACATATTGGCTTTAAGATATTATAAAATAATTCCTCTGCATTTTGATACCAATGCATTTAAATCGTCTGTATAGTCGCAAGCCATTATAAGAATAGAAATACACAAAGTAAAGGCAAGCAAATAATCGATATTTAGATAGGAGTAAACCAAATCACGTATTCAACTTTTGCCTCCTTTATCATGGTTGTCTATTCTGGATTATTTATCTTGTAAGAACGTACATGCATGTCTGTTGCGTCTGATCAACTGGGCCTTTCACAACAGCTTTAGTTGCTCTAGTTATTGGACGACTGATTTGATTTGATGTTCTCTGATGAAAACAAATCTTATTATGGGTGTTTGGGATGCAGATGAAAATGATGTAATCAAGTTTTATTGATATTAGAAACGAACTCCTTTTTTCATCAGATGGTAAAATAATCGAAAACGTTGATTATTTAAAACCTTGACGGTCTTTCGAGACCTAAACTTTCAGCATGCAGACCTTTCACGATATTCACACATTTCATGGATCGATCTTTTCTTTAGATCAGAACATGGAATCGTACACAAACTTAATCAACGTGAAGTATTTACCGAAATTTTCTTGTTTGTAATTGCTAGAAAATATGCTATAGACAATAGAGCGTTAGATGGATAGTCTTTTTCGGTTACAGAAACCTAAACTAGCTCAATAAAATTCCAGTATTTAATTAATTGCAACTATTCAGTATTCCAAGTGTGCCTTAATTACGATAGATAGGATGCTGCCACGTTGTTATTTAAAGTTGTTTGATACTATTATATTTAGCTGTATGTTCTTTTTTCGTCAAAAGGTGGTAAAAAGACTTATGGAACGCGAAATGCCGCTGGTGCCCAAACTGAACTTTAATATTGTTGACGTAAGAGACGTGGCGAATGCCCACATCAAGGTCATGACCTTGGAGGAAGCTGCAGGTCTGTACAACGCATACACATTCTATTATGATGTGACTTTTTTGTCTTCTTTGAAAATGATAACTAAAAGAGCCAAACAAAATTCGTATATGTCGAAAAAGAAAGACCAATCTTTGTTGACCAAACAGACATAACCGCTGCTGTATTAATATATATATATTTGTTTGATACAGGGAAACGTCACCTCATTACGAACGCCAACATCTGGATGAAGGAAATCGGCCAGATACTTTCCAAGGAGTTCAAGTCGCAAGGTAATACACATCATCAACTTAGTTATTCCGTATTTGTTGGTGTGATCGGAAACCGTACAATATAAATTTAAAAGGGTTTTTTTCGAACTTTGAAGCTGGAAAAGTAATTCATATGTTTGCATTTATCTATTTCAGACATATTTGTATTATAAGGAAGTTTACATATTAAGGCCAATAAAGAATATTTCGGCTGTAAATAGGATCTGCCGACATCGAATTCATCATGCCATGTCTGAAATAACAAAATATTCGATAACGTGAAATTACTTTTTATTTGAAATACGTCGACAAATTTATGATATTCAGTGTAATTTGGGAAGGAAAAGGGTAGTTAATTAACGTTGAATGGAGTATGTGACATGCTTTCGTCTCTCTATCACAGGCTACAACGTTCCTACAACGGGGTGTCCAAATGCCATACTTTGGATGAACAGCTGTTTCAACAAGAACCTGAAGGCATTGATCCCGCAACTAAATAAAGTTTACAAGTTCGACAACACTAGGGTAAGACGATATGCTGGTTTGATTGGTAGGGAGTCCTTACTATCATATACGTAGTATTCACAGGCCTTTAGACTTCATGCATCACCAGATAGTTGTTTTACAATATGTTTCAAACTGCAAATCTCAGGATCACTGATTTTAACAATGAAATATTTAAGTTATAACAGGATATATGGAAAAAATCAGCTTTGGTAGCGATAAGATAGGTTCAATTGTGTGTTCGAAATTCTGGAGTTTACATGTAGAGAGCCTGAAGTTACAAACAATATGAAATATGTTTTTATGTTCATTTCCAGATGAAGGAGGTGTTAGGCATCACACCTAAAGAACCTAAAGAAATTGTTATTGATATGGCCTATAGTCTTATAGAGATTGGACTGGTCAGAAAGGCCAAGAAATACAGAGGACCTAACGCTGGAGGAGATGAAGCAGCTGAGGAGACTAAGGAGGAAGGCGAGAAGGCCGAGGAAAAAGAGGGAGAGGAAAAGCCAAAGGAAAATGGCGATGTTAAGGAGGAAAAGGAGGAAGAAGATGATTTGAAAAAAGAGAGTGAAGAAAAAGAGGAAGAAAAACCAGAAAAAATTGAAGAAGTTGAAAAGGAGGAAGAGAAACCCGAGGAAAAACTCGAGGAAGAAACAAAATCAGAGGAGAAGACGGAGGAAAAGAGCGAGGAGAAAACGGAGGAATCAACGCCAGCTGAATAGAAAGGACTATAAACAATTAATAGGCTGTTTGAGATAGGTATATTTTCTGGGGTGAAAGTGCTGAGGAGGGAAATTACTCTTTTAATTATAAAATGGACCAAGCTGCTTGATAGTTGAGTTAGCCCGGCCAGTGTTATTCGGCAAAAACTGACATCTTCCCTTTCAAGTCGTTTACTTGCTTTGTAAAACACTGTGGAATTCAATTCAGCGCATTCAAATGGGGGAATTACTGAGGATTAAATGTATAAATATATATGTATATATATTCTTATGCCAGTATTTGTTAGAAGTCTATATGAAAGCTTTATGAAAAGATCCAAATGATGTTCATATACTGTCAATAACATTTCATCTGTTCGGCAGCATGCATACCGATACAAGACCATCAAAAGTTATCAATCATAATTATATAAGGCCCCGAATTCTATCAGCACTTCAATATATTTTATAGCGAGGAATGACAGTGGATTTGTGTTTCAAGTCGGTACATTCCATTTTCTTAATAGTGGAGAAGCATGGCACTTACGATAGGGAGGGGTATAGGATTTTATCGTTAACATTTATTTTACACATAATTGATAAAAAATGGAATAATACGTGAATTTTTCATTAAATGTAAACTCTTGCTTAAACAGCTTACTATAACTAGAATGAGCGAATTGAAATGGTAGACTAAGTGAATCATCTGTAGCAATGTTCACATAAGTGTCAGTAAGTCGAAAAAATAGGTTATAAATTTTAGAGGTATACCCAAGGGGAGTTAACTCGTACGCGAGTAATGCTCAGCACGATTGGTAGAATGAATAAACAGCTACATGTGTGCTATATTGAATAATCTTACGTATTAATACAATCATACATATACGCTGGATATTTCCAATGTAAAATGCTCATAAAAGTCCATAAAATGGACACTGTTTGTAAGCGTTTTATCCGTTTAGTAACGCCGATGCATTTGCCTTTCTCAAAATTTATTTTTTAAGGTGAAAATCTTATTTCTAATTTTGTATGAGAATCACACCATGACAATTTTTTTTGTCGTCCACCTTTCGAGAAAGTGATTTATACAATATATTGTCTATATCTTGTGTTTCAATGGTAATTTTTGTACTGCCTGAATGTATTATATTCATCTTAAGGTTTTTGATCAACCATTGTTCATGTATGTAATCGTTTGTGCCCCAGCTAAGCTCGCGTTCCCTACGTCAGATAATTGACTCTAGTTGACTTGACACCTAACTACAGTGATCGGAAGGACAGGTCCAGTTTTTCTTGTCATTTGTTATTTTGTGCATTAAAAACACAACTAGTCATATGGGATTTCCCTACCGGGTGCAATATGTCAAAACAGATTGATTGAAGTCATTGATATTTTGTGGATGGGTTTTTATAGATGATAATATTGCCTATAATATGACATCTAATGGGTGATATGTAAAGGTTTGCATAGTGTCAAATACAGCCCTCTATTTATCGTCAAATATTTCTGTTTATAGCTACGTGTGAAGTAAGGTTCGCGCAAGTTATCAGCACCAAATGCCCTTAAATGGAGTCTATATATGGCATCATGATAGAGAAACATTGTGGTCGTCACAGGAAAACGTGTAAGATACGTACCATCTTCCTGGTGATCGAGGAATGCAAATATTCCTCTCACAAAGTTGAAGTTTTTTTCATATCGATTATGTATGATGACTATACATATATATGTATCATGTATGCTTTTGGTAACAGCAAATCGGTTCTAAGGCAGAGATTGCCTATATGTTGTTGATGTGACGTGACGTCATGCTGAAGTGTTCTCAACGTATGTAGAGTGTTCGTCCCATATTTAATTACATTTTTCTATTTCCCAGCTGCTGTTTAAATTGATATCTATGTCAGGTATGGAAAACAGAATTTATTTGAAAGGATAAGGTCATTTCAATGGATAGTAGTGAGGTCTTCTCAACACAAGGCTGCGTGATGATTTAAATGACGCAATCTTTGTACATAACGAGTTATCTCCCTTCCTTGTGCGCAAGTGATCGTACTGAATCCATGGGGAAGCAAGTTGCATTTGGATTGTTCCAAGATGCCAATTGAAATGTACATCTAAAAGTCCTATTGCTGGGTTCACCAAACAGTAACAACAAAAATGATACAACAAGCTGATGCCTTATGGGAAAAACCGTGATATTGAAAATTCGTTAATCCTGACAGGGAATTGTCAACTTATATCTAGTGCAGTTGTGTGAATTTTACACCGGAAATATAGTTAAGTATATATATCAAATGACCATGATTTTAGCCACCGATCGTCGTGAGCTTTCGTGAAGAGAGCCTTGAAGTGTACTTGTAGATACGATATGCCTGTGTTAGCGCTCTACACGTGAAGGTCAGGCGTGTGTACCAACATTTATATGTACACCGCGTTGTGATGTTGAAGCTATTTTGAAGTGTTTCCATAACAAATTGTGTATTATAATATACTCGTTTGCCTTATATGTTTCCGTATGTGTATACAAATCCAACTTAAACATTTTTCATCTAAACTTTAATATCATTTTTTTTTCTCAAATTTAGATAAATCTTTTCAGGAAAAATATTAATTTATCTTCAGATTTTTTTATCAACGATGTGGCCTTTGAAAGGTCGTGCAATGTCTACTACCCCTGTAGATGTTAGTGGACTGGTCCATACTGTGGTGTAGGATGTTCTACTGCATTATTCTAGGGGCAGAAGAACTTACTACCATTGCAGCATATACATTGCTTCCAAACGGTAGAAAACATTTGAACTTTCACATCATTTAGACTCAAGAGACATAAGAAACTAACTCTATTTTGTTCATCTGTATTCATAGACTCATTAACTGAACATTTCATTTGTTTTTTTCATTCGAATATGTGTAGATTCATGTCTTAATAATAAACATTAAGTATTCAATGTTATGGTAACATTTATAAACCTTTTATTAATTTATTGGTATTTAGACATCATTTCTGTATACTAAGAGCATAGCTTTATGTATGTCACCGTATATCAAGAAAAATAAAATAACTTTGTTTCAATCATTGTTTTTATTGTCTTCAGCATGGTACGTTACTCTCCTTGTTTTGGTTGTGCCTCCAGGTATCCACTATCTACCGAGAAGACAGGTTTGTTAACGGATTATATAAGCTTTACAGGGCAAATACGATATAACATTATCTCTTCCCACTTCTCGTGTTCAGCTGTTATTTTGTGTCAGCCTGACAGCAGTCATCTGAACGTTTGACTGAGACAGAAACTATTCAAGTTGAAGATTTTTAAACCAAGACTCCTAGGACGAATATAGTTATTCTGTCCGAATCATAAGATATAACGCGAGAGCGTTGTCGTGCATCCAAAGCATGTGCATTTTTTAATACTCCTGGTTTATTTTCTGTTATGAAATTTAATCTAGCTCGTTGTTTATACATAGTAGGCACCAACAATACATCCACAACCGATAATGCTTTGCATAGATTAACATGACAGAACACACAAGTGAATAATGCCTTGTGATACAGTTGTCGTAAGGCACAACGCACCAAAACCATCCGTGCGCAGTTCGTGTATACATCGAGCGCACACATGCACAATACAGTATCGTGCGCACAACTTTGCGATAGGATCGCACATTCTGTGCGGTTTGGTAAAAATTGTTAGCTAATATTACGGATTGAAACATAAACGGAAAACTCGTGAAGTAATTACTAAATAGCGATTACATTAACATCAAGGTACTTTTTAATTTGACAGTTACGAAAAAAACACTGGACCTGCATTAATTAGTATCACCATATAAAGTTTCACACCTCAAAAAGTAATGGTGTTTCGGGCAACAAAAGTCTACCTATATACGGGTATATACGTGACAGGTCCGGATCCGTACCAGCTGGGTCGTCAGTGTAACAAACACAACACGTAGGATTTACCTGAGCATATATGTTTTGTTTACAAAATGAATGAAAAATGACAGTAATACAGAAGTAATGAAGATACAATTTCCTTTCTGACGGCATGAGATTTTAAACGATTCATTGCTGTGACATAAAGAGACGTCCATTTAATGTTTCCATATATAATGTGTGCCCGTCCACTAAGGCCGGTCACGTGTGGCTCTTTGTAAACAAAACACTTAAAATTACGAGTGCTTTTAACCATTCAGTGTGTATCTGATATATCTACAAGTGTCCAACTTATATATCAATTATGAAATATTCTAAGTTGTATTCTTATTTATTTAGAAAACAACTAAACCCTATCCCATACTTATTTATAAGCCATTTCTAAATTTGTATCGACCTGAATTTTTATGCCTATTAAGCCAATTGAAGAAAATACAAATTGATCGAAAGAAAAAGTCAACATCTAGCTATTAAGGTGTACGATAATCCAATAAATTCTGTAATTTTCATATGTCAGATAATCTTAGAACAATAACAAGTACACTTGTATATACTGAAACGTGCCAGTATTGGATGGAATCAAACCGTGGCATATATAGATTTCAGCAAACCTCGAGGACTGAAAGTATAGCTGTCGTACAATAGACACACAAGTAAACAACACCTTTAAATATAAATATAGATACAGGGAAGCTTAACAATGAATTAAACTACAGCATACAGCTGTTTCGTGTTAAATTACATCAAATAATAGAATGAAAAATGATCTTGACGGATTGTCTATGCCTCCAGACCTAATCACCAATACAAATGTTATCCTGTTTTGAGAATGGACCAATCGTTAGAGGTGCCTGCTTCGTAACGTTGCGTTACAAGGATTTTATACCACATGAGTTGGTTGTTTTTTTCTACCTCGTTACAGCCAGGGTCACTTGACACGTCAACTGGAGAAAAGCAAAAGTGGTATGATTTTTATCGAACAAATTAATCGTGAAAGATAATCATCGAACTAAACATGCTTCATTTAACCATTTTAAGTAACCATTAATAAACACTTTTTTTCTATTCCCTACAAAAGGATTCCAATGTTTAAACACAAAATCGAATGCCAAACATGTGAATGAACAATAAAAATAGGGAAATACAATTCAAATGTATTTAAATATTACACATAAAGAAAGAAATGATATATCTGATGAATCTTCGTGCAGATAAACGATGGAAAGACCGTATTATACATAATGTATATGTTTTAGAAAGGAATTTGTTTAATGAATGGAAATCATTTGAAATCACTATAAAACACTACGTACTGTAACAGAGGTCATGTTCCATCTCAACGCCTCCGCCAAGAATCGAACCCGGGCCCCCTGGCTTACTAGTCTGGCGCTCAACCAATCAAGCTTAAGAGAAGTTCTCCCTAGCAGAGAGGTATATTGCTGCTCGTATTTTACCAGGGTTACATACTCCCCCTCCAGGAATGAGCACGTCCTCGAGTTTCCAGGGGTCACAGCGACGCCGGTTAGGCATGGCTTAGTAATATTCCCGGGTCCCTACATGGGCGCCAATGTAACAGAGGTCATTTTTCATCTCAACGCCTCCGCCAAGGCTATAACTCATAAGTCTCCAGTTGCACTATCCAGAAAAGAGGAAAATGGAGGTAAGAAAAGAAGAAAAAGAAAGGAAAAAAGGAAAGATTTAGAATAAAGGAAATGAAAAAAGGAAATGTTAAAAAATCACATGAAGGATTATAATGACAATAGAAAAGTGCTTGAATGCAAGGTTTTATAGCTTCCTCTGAGATTTGAACTCTGACCTCTTTCCGTACACAAAAAGTGTTCTTGCCAGTTGAACTAAAGAAGCTTATTTTTCCACAGAACAAGCACATCACAAACAATCCTTAATATTCTTTTAACTATGTTTTGAAGGGCAAATGGCTCAGCTTATCATAGACATGTATGATTCATATACTTTTCATAAAAAAAACTTTTCCGCTGCTTTTACGAGGGCTTGGAACCTTCTACTATATACCAATTTCTTTACTACGATATTTTATATATGGTAGGCAGCATTAACATTTTTTTATGTTTGGTCTTCACTGTTGTTTCTTTCAATGCGTTCATTGTACATATCCATCCTTCAAGCATTCTAATTATATCTTTCTTTTTCTCGCAACCCCTTTTCTTTTAGCTCTGTTCTCGATTGCTCAAAAGATACAGACTGGGTTTTATTGCAGTATCTGTATCCCATATACTGCTGATGGATGGAAGGAAATCGGTAGTCGCCACACTTGCTGCATTTCACTGAATTGGTCTTTTTGGTGTAATGCCGCTTCACAACTCCACTATCACTTGTCATTGCCTTCCTGTTTTGCCCCTGTTGTGGTACACTTGGCACTGTAACCACTGGCGATGTCTGGGAAGCACCTGGTGGAGACAGTACTATAGGAAAGCGTACTGACCCAATGACAGGTAATACTGGCATTGGAAGAAGAGGGCGACAAATAACTGGCGGTGGTGATGGTGCCTTAGTTTTCCTGATCTTCAGCTTTGCCATACCAGCAGTATCTGGAGGACAGACGAAGGGAAAGGGAGATGTCTCATCTATCTGCGAGGAATCAGGCTTTACCCTGGGTAAAGGCGCTCCTTTTCCAGTCATGAGAGCGTGTGGAACCTCAATTCCCTGAAACAGGATTTTGAGATCTCTTTCCTTCCCCTTTTTGTTGTACTTAAAGCAGAGAAAGGATGTGTAAAAAGTTGATAATTTATTTTTTGTTATCCAAAGCAAAGGTTGTTTTTTTCACATATGATGGTATTTTTTTTAGAAAATTTTAACTAAATATAACAAAAAATATTACCTGTAATGAATTATTAGGTTTCAATGTTATTTTGATGGTGCTTTCAGAGAAACTAAGAAAGAAACAACAACATAGACTCATAAAATCATCATCCTACAACCTAGATACAGGTGTAGTAAGGCTATATCCATCCTCTCTCAACTATGTTGTGGTTTCATCAAACTTACCACTGCTGAATGGTCTTTATATTCAGACTTGGCAGCTGAATGTCGGTTTGACTAAGGATCCTTTGACTGGACAAAATAAGTGATTGAATCTGTGAGTAGGATTCTTTCAATAATGTCCATCGTGATTGGAAACCTTTAGCCTTCTTTGACTGTCTGTCACTGGGATGCCACTCCAGCAGCTTCTGTACAGTGGCCTCAACGTATCTATTGCAGTCCGGCCAGCTGGCCCTTGTTGAATTGGGACCAAGTACTGCCCTGAATGGAATAAAAACAATCAGGATATTTCTCTTCCAGACACCTGGTCTTATTCTCCTTTGTACTTTTTCAGCGAGTCTCTTTGTAAAACTTGCATTTGTTTTAATATTGCCCTTGTTTTGATGGTCCTTTGGGTGTGTGTTGCAATTTTGTTACCATGTATATTCTTTGTTCTCATTATTGATGGTACTTATAATGACATGACAGTACTTAACAAATACCTCATATAAATTTGGTTATTTTTCATATGCTACAAAATTACTGAATTTATCTTAGTTTAATTTCAATTAAGATTAAATTTCCATTAGGCGTATTCACTTGAAAATTGTTATAATATGTCTACAAATCAAAAACAATTTTTCTGGAGACACGTAAAAAGAAAGATGTGAACCTTACAATGCTGGTAACACCAAGCGCCACATTTTTCTTGGGACTCCTGAAGCGGCCTGACCCAGCAGATGAATATCTCTGTGGAAACCGAGTTCTCGATTTGTCATGGTCCGACAGAGATTCCAAAAGCTGTATTATGGTCAGCGCCTGCTCCGTTGTCATATTTGACGTTTGATCTTTCAGCGTTACCAGGAAAGATGCCAATCTGCCCACATGTGAGTAGCCTGGGATATTATCTGACCCAACGTCACTCTGTGAATTGTAAATTGCATTTGTAACTTAATAATGCATGCAGCAATGGTAGGACATTCTCTCAAAGTTGGTTAAAGAAATCTTTCAGATACATTTCAATAATCTGAAATTAATATAGCAAAGCAGAATCCAAAATCGATAAAATTTTAATGCAATGAAATCTGAAAGTCACAAAAATAACCCGTACTTCAAATGGAAGACCACTGTAATTCAATAGT